TCTGGTGTCAGTACCAGGACTGGACGTTAGCTCTGGTGTCTGTACCAGGGTTGGTGTAGCTAACGTTAGCTCTGGTTTTTGTACCACTTCTCTAGTGAAGAGTATTTCTTTACCTGGTTTCTTCTTCTCTGTGGCGTTTTCTTCACTTTGAGGCTCTTCTGTGTAAAGGATGAAAGGAAAATAAAATAAAGGTAGACAGGTGTATAGGGGGAGGAGAGGGGAGACGGATGATGAGGGTGAGTGTCTTCATGCGTGTCAGCAGGCAGAGGAAAGCAGAGGGGGAAGACACAGGAGAAAACTTCATTTCCTACGTATAACTTCAGAGAAACCAAACAGTTGTTTGACTTAAATCCTAAAGTACGTATGGTTATGGTCTAGAGTTTGTACACAGTAGGAGAGTATGGAGTCACCCAGAGTATTGGGGGGGGAGGGTGATACTTGACTGGTGGACACTGATGACCCCTACTGGATTTAATGGGTTTAATAATAATCAATAATCATCAGTAGCCAGTTTAAAGTGATGAATCCTAATCATGCATGTTCCTGGTTGGAACCAGTGAGAAGATGGTAGAAATAGTCATGGTACCTCAGGCCACACAGGAAGTTCTCTCTGTTTTCTCTACGGGACGACAAGCACATGGTTCGAAGCTTTAAATCAACACTTGTTCAGACAAACAAACAAACAGCTGTCTGTTCTGACGCAGGTGTTAATGTTGCAGCTGGATTTGACCTTTAACCTTTAGTCTCTCATACTCACTTGTCTGTGGCTCTTGTTTGTCTTTGCCTGCATTTGAACGGACAGGAAATAAGACAGGAAGTAGATCGACATCAGGAGACACAATTAAGACGGTACTAATACACCCTGATAGCGCCACCTTGAGATTAGTTCATGTCCCTAATTGTTTGCACTGTTTGTAATGTAATTCAAGAGTTTTTTACTCACGTTTCTTCTCCGCTGCTGCTTCTGGTCTGGATTTGACTGAAAAATCAACAGTCAAGAAAAGGTCAGAGTCAGGTCTGAGCCTCATGATTTGAACGGTGTGGTTTTCCAGTTCAGTAGCAGTTAACGTGAATGACCAAACACCGGGATGTCAGAGCAGAAGAAGATGAAACAAGTGTCACCTGGTGCAGTCGCAGGTCTGGCTGGTTTCTCTTCTTTGGCCTGAGACGTTACGTTTGCTCTCCTCATGTTCTCCGGTCGGTGTCTGAGTCTGAGGGGCTGAGGTCGGGGCTCTGCTTCTTCAGCTGTTTGGAACATTTTAGTTTTTAATATATTATACAAAAAAATAATGAGCAGAAAGTCAGAGTCTGTAGAAACAGCTGTTGGTGTTTACCTTTTTTAGCAGACGCTGCCTTGACTCTGTGTTTGACAGGAGACACTGGTGGTTGGAACAAACCAGTCCAGTCAGTGTAAAGCCCGTCACCACTTTTTATTCTTATTTATATCAAAATTAAATTTAACATCTTGTATCTTCACATAAAAAACATTAAAAACATTTTTAATGTAAAAAACAAACTGTAAACATATGTACAGATGATAGTGAAAAAGATGAAACATCTATTAAATGAACAATATATCAAAATGTTTTTATATAGTTAATATCTATTCATTTTATATCATTTAATGTCTTACATTTTTCCTATCTTAAAAATAAATGTTTACGCTTCACAGAAACAACACTTGCTTTTTGTTAGAAAATATGAATTTCAGTTTATGAGAATTATACTGTGTATTTGTATATATAAATATATGTATATATATTTATATGTGTGTGTGTGTGTGTGTACATAGGTACCTGTCTTTTCAGCCGTCGACTTCCTCTTCTGTCGAGCAGCTTCAGGCTCTGTGGTGATGACATAACAACAGGTTAGTCAGACATTAAATATGGAAATGAATGTGGAAATCATTGAGTACAAATGACCTTTCTTTAGGGCTGCAGTGTCCATCTTCTGTTTTACAGCTTTCTCTGGAAAAAAAACAAAGATTATTGAGCTAACCTCGTAAAGTTTAACGTCCCGTAAACCTAAATGAGTTTACGACGTAAAGTCAAAATATACATTGATTTATCTATGATGTTTTATTCATCGTTGTGAACTTAAAGAAGTCTGTGTTCAATACCTCTCTTGTACGGTGCAGTACGTTTAACGGCCGATTCTGTCACAACAACGAGAGCACAAAAAAAGAGATAAAAATATTTACGCTGTACAGACAAACAGTCAAACGACGGAACAGAACGAGCCACAAAATAATAATAACCTCTCACTTCAAGTTAGTGAATTACAGAAACAAAGGTAAAAGTTGGAATTACTTCTGTTCCTATTCACGACATAAACCTGACTTTATTTTGACGTGGTGATAATTGAGACAAGAAAATCTTTAATTATGTCATCAGCTCTACCTACAGGTGTGTTTTTTTTACCTTTTCTCGTCGGTGTAGAAGGTTTGGTTTTCTCTTCTTTAACAGACGACTCTGTCACAACAAACAAACGTGAATTTAAAAAACTGACTGTATTTGGTTCTATTTTAATTTAGGTTAAAACGTTATCTACGAGATGCTGAATAAACACAAAAAATATCAATAAAAAATGTTTTGAATAGTAAAAACGTAGAGACAGTGTGTTGTCCAACATGCGGTAGCTAAAACCCACAGAGTTAGCTTAAGCTTAGCTAAGATGTGGCAAAAGTTAGCTTCACATTAAAATAAGGAGTGGCTCAATGTTAGCAGTGGAAGAAAAAATAGAAAACAAACTGCTTTTATTTACAAAACTCTAAACAACTCCATTAAAACAGTGTGTGTCAGCGATGGTTGAAGGAAAACTCCAGTACCTTTCACTGTGTCAGCAGCTTTGACTTTCTTCTTAGTTTCTGAAAATATTACTCATACATTTTATTTATTAGTAAAATGAAGTACATTGTAGTATAATTCAGAGTAATTGAAAAGCTTTTACCTTTCTTGGCAGAAGCAGCTTTTACTTCCTCTTTTTCAGCTGCTGATGTAGGAAGATGCTTTTTAATGTTTTATGGAAAAATGTGAGGTCACTTGAGGTCAGTTAGAGTCACACTGCTGCTCACCTTG